CCAGCCATTGCAGGAGGACAGATTTGAATTCAGCAGCTGATCAATGATGTACTGAATGTTCTAATCCTACAGGTATGTCAAATCGTATGTGTCGTATTTGTTATAGGGTTATGATTACAAAGCTGTAGCCCTGTTTGATTTACAGTGATATCGCAGGATGCAGTCGGTTGCTAAGCTGACTTTTTCTGAAGAAAATCAGAAAGCTGTAACTTTGTCTGAAAGTTATTAACAAATTAAAGACTTGAGAGGAAAGATAGATGAAGTATTACTCTATACTTACAAGTACTCTATAGGCACTTCTCAATAATCAAGTTTAATATGAGATTGGGCTAAGTGAGTATGATCCATTCTATTTAATAAATTAGTTGAGACTTGATGTTAATTTGTTGCTCATACTAAATGCCTACATACTTACAATTTGTTTTAAACTATTTTTTTTTTTTCAGTTTGTTTTGTTCTAAAATTAATCGCACAAAGATTTTTTGGGGCAAGAGAGAAGAATTTAGTTGCATGTTTACATGGTCTCTAACATTATGATTTATTTAGATCTAATGGTAACATATTTTTCAGTCATGTTCAATGAAAATGTTCCACCCAAGCCCCAAACAACGCAAATCATTTTTGATAAGGCACTGTGTAAGATATTTTCAGTTACTCAGCTCATTTTGATAGTAACCTGTGCAAGATATTTTCTGGAAAATATGATAATATGTCATAATAATGTAACTATAATACTATAATACTAGAATGTAACTGTTCTATATTTGTCAGTTTTGCTTGATGAATGAAAGCTCTTAAATGATCCACTAAATAAACTAGTAGGTTTTACCTGTTTAGGTCCAAACACAGCTCCAATATTGTCTCTCATGCTATTACTGCCACTGGTGCACAGTACTGTGCTGCGCTTTCCTTGTCCCATCTGATTGCTGCATGTAATCCTCACACCGGTGGAGATGATACAGTAGGACTGCAAGACGAAGATCATCTTGGAATATTCCTGTAAAGGACATTCCATTTAACCAAACAGAAAAGCCCGAACCAGTTCACCATCAAACATTATATATTTACCCAATTTTTTACTTACACTCAAGTTGTTTCAAACCTTTATGGGTTTAATTTTTTGCTGAATGTAAAAGATGTTTTGAAAAAAGTTGGAAACCAGTAACCATTGACTTCCAGAGAAGGAAACACAAATATAATAGAAGTCAATGGTTTCCAGCTTTCTTTAGAATATCTTCTTTAAGGTTCAGCAGTGGAAAGAAGTGCGAGTAAACGGATGATAGAATTTTCCGTTTTGTATTAAATATATATTAATATATTAAAAATATATTAAATAACTAGATAAAAAAAAACATGCATTCAATCATCTCCAAGCGACCTTTTTGATGTTGCGCTGGAACTCCTTGTGCCGAACAGGTAATGTAGAGAAAAGCTTCTGAAGAGTGACGGTAGTGCCGTGTTGGCGTGGATGTGGTACACACTGAGTGAGACGACCATCGTGGTCATAAACCAGCCGAGCTCCAATCTGAGCACTCTCATGACAGGTCACAACACTAAGATCACTGCAATCAGACAAAACAGTGGAAATTATCATTCTGCCATGATCATTAGTTATCAACTTAAAGGGAAAGTTCACCCAAAAACAAACATTTACTCACTGTTTACTAATCCTCAAGTGGTTTCAATCCTTTATGAGTTTCTTCATTCCACTACACTACACTAAATCAATGGTTACAGATTTAAAGCTTTCTCCAAAATATATTCTTTTGTGTTAAACAGAAGAAAGAAACGCAAATATGTTTGCATCATGTGAAGGGTGACTAAAGGCCCAGTATATTTTAAATGAAATTCTTTTTCATACGTCCTCTTATGGCCAAAAGAGTTTTGAAAAGGCTGAGTGAAGGTTTACTGTTTTCGAACACTCCAACATCCCCAAGCTGCAATAGGTGAGGTTGTACTTATCATGCTGCTCACATGTACTTCATGCATCACATCTTTATAGTTTTTGATTTGACAAGAACAGACACTGAATGACACTGCTGGTGTGTGCAAACTCGTAGAATATTAATAGGATGACGAGGTGGGCTTCTCGTCCAGTGTGAACCCCTCCAAGTCTCCAGTGTGTTCATGTGACTAGTTTTAATGTTTTGGATGTTTTTCTCCTGTCTGACCTCCACTGAATGAGAAACGAATTGGTAAATCAAGGAGTTCCAGAACACACCAACTGATTGCAGAATCGTCATTGACCAATAGTAGCTCAAAGGAGTTTAGGAGTTAAATGAACTCCCCCAAAAGATTGGTTTGGTGAGGGGATTCGAACTGCTAACATTTAAAAAAAGTACATTTAAAAATTTAATTTTAGCTGGATTTGTTCAAAATTACATCATTTCAGTTTGCTTTTTGATTTAATTAGAGGTATTTATGATGCCTTTAATGATGACAGAATTTTCCTTTTTTTCGTGAACTATTCCTTTAAGCTCATACTATAAACATTAAAGCAATAATTCAGCCACAAATTTTATTCTGCCATCATTTACTCTCTTTTTACTTGTTCCAAAACTGTTCGGCTCTCTTTCTTCTGATGAACAAAAGAATATTTGGAAGAAATCTTGAAACCTGTAACTACAGACTTTCATAGTATTTGTTTTTCCTACTATAGAGGTCAGTGGTTACAGGTTTTCAGCTGTCTTCAAAATATTTTCTTTTGTGTTTAGCAAACGAATTCAACTCAAAGGTTTGAAACCATGTGAGGGGGAGTAAATAATGAGAAAAAAAATAGTTTTGGGGTGAATTATCCCTCCAAGAAGATATAAATTAAGTGTTACCTGAGAGCACAAAGTGAACTGAGAGCTTCACCACGAAACCCGAACGTCTCCACGTGTATCAGGTCAGAAAATTCTTTCAGTTTTGAGGTGTGATGTTTTAAAGCTGCAAATGTAGAGAAGACACAAATTACATACCCTAGTGGTGAACATATTCTAATAAATCAGATCATGATTTTGAGTCTCTAATGCCTAAAAAAAATAGATTAAAAATGCATACTTTAAAATATTATTACAATAAAAATAGATATTTTAGGTTCAGTGAAATGTTTTATTTTCATTACTAAAAGTTTACAAAAGAGTTATTATAAGCAGTACAAAGTAACATTACACTTTTTTCTGGTCAACACAGGATGTGTTTTGTTAACTCTAAACTAGAATTACTAAAAATAAAACGGAAACTAATATAAAAAATTAAATAGATATGTGTGAATGAAATAAAGCATGATTTCTAAATAAAAAAATATTATTTATATATAGAGAATGTTACGTCACTTTAAATTGCAATATTGCAGTTTTACTGCATAAAATGAATTCAAGAATATGATATACATATCTATATGTATTCTTTCTTTTTTGTCTAAACCTGGACTTTCATGTAACACATCATTTTCAAGAGTGAACACAAAAAGTGGGCTGACAGTGAAGGGTTATAAATATATAAATATATATATATATATATATATATATATATATATATATATATATATATATATATATATATATGTGTGTGTGTGTGTGTGTGTTTAAATGATTATAAATGTTTGACCAAACGTGCAAACTTAACTCTAAAAATGCAACTTACTTAGTCCCTCGTAGTTTTGCTCCTCAACACCTTTTCCATTGTCAGACACTTCCACCAGCTCAATGCCATTGTCTTTTAGCTTCACATCTGTGAAAAAAATCATGTAATATGTTGCACGTTTATGTACAACAATGCTGCATAATCTCAAATCACAATGTTTCCTCAAACTGTAATTCTTGAAACTCACCAACATTAGTAGCTCCAGCATCAATGCTGTTTTCCACCAGCTCTTTCACAGCTGTGGCCAGACTCAGCACCACCTGTCCTGAGCAGATCTGATGGACGGACTGTTTGTCTATTGCCTTTATGGCTCCAGCAGATTCTATGCTAGGAATTTAAAACGCAGACAATGAAAGGCAAGCAGACAAACAAAAGAAAAGGCTACAATAGTAAACATGTTAATGTAAGCAGTTAACCTCCTCCTTAGTCTATTATTTTGATCTCATTTACATATTTATTAAATACATTTTATATTTACACACAGTGTAAACTGGGAAAAGCATGCGAACCTACATTAACTTACCACAATTCTGACATCTTTAAAATAGCTAAAGATATGATATAACGTTAGATCACTAGATCAGACGTCTAACTTGCAAACGCTGCATTGCGGCTTATTTTGTTGTGGCTAACGTTACTTTGATAGCTGTTGCTCCATGTTGCATTCAAGAAGTAACTCCGGTATGCGTTTTCATTGGTTCAACAAGTACAATATCCCGGAAAAACTACGATGAAACACGTTTTGCTTTTTGTTATTGGTACACGCAGAAAGATAACTGCACCTCTCTAGTCTGTGTTGTTCTGTGTACTTTTCCCGCTTGCGAAGTGACGTAAAACGTCAGGTCACCACATGTTTTGCGTAGCATGTGATCAACTTCAGTCTGTTGTACAAATTGTGACATTTGGCTGTCTTGCTTTTATTATTTCATTTATCTCATATGCCTAGTTAATATTAAAGTCATGCGCTTTATTTCTTCAGTTTATTTTTTATGTTTAAGATTTGGAAAAACATTTTCCAATTATTACACATATTCTCATAATGTATTAACTAGCTTATTTTACTTTATAGCTTACTTTACTTTGTTAAAAATAAAAAATAATTAAAATAAGATAACATTTAATTTTTAAGAGTTTCATCATCCTGCGCGTGCTTGTCTGAGTAGGGGACTGTATAAAAAGTTTAAAACTGATGCAAGCCGAAATTGACAATGTCCTAAAACACTATGAATTATATTTTCTTCCAGATTTTAATGTGCATAGAGACAACGGTTAAGAAACAAAAAAGTGTATAAACATATGTTATTGGATAAACGTTTTTCGTGTTTTACGTCTTTTTTCGCACCATAAACAAAAGAGAAATTTTGAGACAATCCCTTACTTCTGTGCTCCGAAACCATACAAAACATGGCAGGTCACTGTCGGTTTACAGTGAATATTATATTCGGCTACTTTTAGAACTAGCTCAGTGTGGTCAACTTAACAGAACTGAGGGTTTGATTGTCGGTTTTATTGAATGGAATTAACAGATGGGCTGCACCTAAGTGTCTTGTAGCAGAACGCCATGTTTCACAGAAAAGAGACCCTCATGGTAGTCGAAAGTTCGAGTAACGTTAGCAGTGTAGTTTCCAATGTTAACAGCCGTAGCCTTCATTTACAACGGGGCCTTTCCACCCAAGAGAGAGAATCTAACATTAGAGGGAAAATGTTCAGCCTGACAGATACGGAGGACGACGTCCAATTTGACAGTGAGTCTACTGCAACTGATAATGTTTAGCACAGCCCCCTTTTATTTGACATTGCACTGTTGAAATTGTAGCTAAACACTAAAACAAATGCGTCTGTCGGTGTTAATTGTGTGAGAGTAGTTTGAGTCCGTATTTATCTGGTGCAAAAGCTGTCAAAGTAATATTTCCAAATGACTAAACTGCAATAATGTAGTTTTAAGACGTCCCTCCTACTTTATATAGCATTTGTGGGACTTCTTAGGGGTGTGGGGGCCAACTTGAAAATGTTTCAAGCTGATAAGTTACTTACCCCTTACCCACCCCTGCTGGACACACAAGATGCCCCAATAGTACTGGTGTTTTTTTGTTTACTCAGCTGTTGAATTAGTACAGTATATGTTTGGTGTTTAAATGGATTCAAAAGAAAATGATATTATGGCTTTAATTGCCAAAGCTATTGCTGAAGGTAAGACATTTTCAATTCAAGCGGTAGACAAGGCTTTATGAGTTTAATTCTTCTGTTTAACACTAAAGAAGATATCTTAAAGAAAAAAACTGCAAACCTGTAACCGTTGACTTCTGTAGTAGAAATATCAGATACTATGGAGGTCAATGGTTTTAGGTTGTCAACATTCTTAAAAATATCTTCTTTTGTGTTTAACAGAAGTTCGAAACAAGTAATAGGTGAGTAAATGATGACAGAATTTAAATTTTGGGATGAATTATCCCTTTAAACAGACAAACAATGAACTATTTTCCCTTTTTTTGTAATATAAATGTAGCCTCGGATTCAGACACTAACTGTGAGGTGTTGCTGGCCGGAAAACAGTATCCATCGATTCAGGAATTTGCATCTGCCATTCCCAACCAACTTCTGCTTGGATCTCTACTTGAACACTTGTGCTTTGTTTATGAGAGTGATCCCACACGGTCACGCATGCTGTTTAAAGGTAAGTCAGCTGGTGTTTACTTATTATTGGTACTAAATAGTGTTTTTTAAAATGCCTCTGCTTCTTTCAGTGATAGGCCAGCGGTTAGCGGCTATGAACCTCCTGTCCCCACTGGCGATCAGTGATGAGTTCAGCACGGTCCGATTACAGCATAACAGGGCATTCACAGAGCTCCTGCACGCCACAAGCTCATCCCTTTTCCCCCAGGTAAATCCAACATGATTCATCATTTATTTCTTTTTTGATTCTGTACAGCTGATGGTTTCATAAAGAAAGCTGGTTCACATTTTGTTCTTATTGTCTTTTGTTTTCTGAAGGAACATAAGTACTTGAGTACAGAAGGCCAAAGCAAAAGGTAAAATTATTTACATATTTTGGATAGTTTGCAAGGGTCCTTAAAAGAAATCTCTCACCAAGGCGAGATTTAATTTATTAAAAATTATTGGTGGGCATAGATTATTTTTTAATCTAGATTAATCTCACTGTAATCTTGGAATTAATCTAGATTAAAATGGCTCATTTGAATTCTGCCAAAGGCATTTAGAATGTTTGTCTTACCCAAATAATGACTAAAAGTAAGTATTTGAGAACGGGTTTCTGAAGCCAGGTGGCGCATTAGACCAGGGGCTTATCTCCTGTTTCCAAAATGCATCAGAAACTGTTCTACTATGATAATTGGTGATGAAATTAAATGTTGTTCAATAAGATGTACTTGTGTTTACTAACTGTTTATTCGGTTAAACTTGAATTTTAAACTGTAGGCCTACATGAGCTTAAAACTGAGAATTTTTATTATTTTTTTTTTTTTATTACGTTAACCTGACCTAAGTCATAACTGAACTAAACAGAAATGGAATTAAGAGATGTGGAGTATGCATATATTAGTTAAGATCCACACACTGTCAGTAAAGTATGGAGACAGATTAGACTCAATAATATTTGATTTTATGCACGTGAATTTGGCTACGCATGTGTACATCGTGTCTTTTGCGTGAATTTCTTTTGAGACTAATCTGATTCCATAGTAAAGGACCGCATACACGCACAAATGCAGCAGTTTTTTTTCTTTCAACAAACAAATAAATAAATAAGTAAATAAATATTTATAAATAAATATTCTGTTTCTAACAAAAAAAAATGAAATCATAAAGGTTAGGAACCACTTGAGGGCGAGTAAATGGCGAGCAAATATTTTCATTTTTGGGTAAACTAGCCCTTTAATATACTGCATCAGATGTATTCTCCTAAACCCTTCACATGTTAAATATTTATATCTTCAAAATATCAAAGATGCAAGACATCAGACAATTTACTACATATGCTTTGAAGTTTTCCTGTATTCGTTTTTTTTTTTTTTTTTTTTTTTATATATTGTTAAAAATTATAGGTATCCATAACAGTTATGACCCTAGGATTTGGATATTAGGGGAAACTTTTATTCACAAGTGTAAAGCTCTGCGCAGTTTAGCTTTAAACCTAACTAAACACGCTTGATCACGCTAATTGGGTCCTTTTGGTTTGTTTGAAACCTTCAAATGAGTGTGTTAAAGCGTGGTTGAAACTAAACTGTACAGGGCTATGGCCCTCCAGGCACTCCTCCTAATCATAAAAAATACTTCGCACTGGCTGGTATGGCTGGAAAAACAACATGTCTTAATTAAGACAAAATCTAGATAGGCTTTGATCAACAAACTAATTTTTCGACTGCACCCCTGATATAATCTTATTCGATGTCAGGAGATCACCAAAGGCGTCCTTTCATTTTTTTTAATTCATTATTTCAAGTTATGTGGTTGCTTTCTTTATTTTTTTCTCTCCGGTATTCATTAATTCATTTATTTTATTTTCGGCTTAGTCCCTTTATTAATCAGGGGTTGCCTCCGTGGAGTGAACCACCAACTTATCCAGCTTATGTTTTACGCAACAGAAGCCTTTCCAGCCGCAACCCAACACTGGGAAATGCCCATACACTCTTACATTCACACTTATACACCATGGCCAACTTAGCAGACCCAATTCACCTATATCGTTTTTGGACTATGGGGAAAACGGAGCACCTGGAGGAAATGGGAAGATGGGAAATGTATTTTAATTCAAAGTATTTTTTTTATTTATTCTCATGATGAAAAAGCTGAATTATTCAGTCTATAATATCATCTTTAGGACTTACCGAAATTATCATGCTAATTTGGTGCTCAAGAAGCATTGCGTATCATCGGTTATTTGAAACTGAAACTATTCAATTCCCCCTTGCTGAATAAATGTGTTGGTATTTAGCTTAAACCTTTGAGCAGAACAATAAAACACAACAATAAAACTAAAATTGAGATATGCTTATCTATTCTAGAACCAAAGATGGTCTTTTCCAAGCACAGACATCCCGGTACCTTAGTGAATTTGAAGAAATAGCAACACTGGGTAAAGGATCCTATGGCAAAGTGTTTAGGGTAAGATGTTTTTTGATAATATTGTACTCCAAATATAGTAACCTTGTGATCTTAAAAAGGTTCTTACTAAAAGCGGTCACACTCTTTTAGGTCACAAACAAGCTTGATGGTCAGGAATATGCAGTGAAAAAAATTCTAATCAAGAAAGTAACACGAGATGACTGTATGAAGGTAAAGTTATTATTTACAAAGTTATACTTTACCTCCCACTGTCCTATTGTGTTATCATTATTGGATCATTGTTATCTCTTTTATGTTAACACAGGTTCTTAGAGAGGTTAAAGTGCTCTCCAGCCTTCAGCATCCCAATATTGTTGGATATCACACTGCATGGATGGAACACGTTCAGCCTGCTGTGACAGGTATGTTGCTTCATATTGACATGGTATTCAATAATAATAGGTCTGGTAACATTGGCCTGATTGCACAAACTGGGCTCAGAAAAACAGGATTAGGGCATAGTCTAATTAGAACATTTAAAAGTGCAGTATGTAAGAATGGCAGTGGTTTAACTAGGTATTGCAGGCCAAATTAAAAATAAGATATTTGCAACTCTCCTACTTGAAGCTCATGTTGGTTGCCATATTGATAACAGGAGCGTGTGTGCTTAGTGATTGAGCCTTACTACAAGCTGCTCAGCTAATGTTTACGTTTGCATTGTTTGCAAATTAAAATCTACCATCATCCGAGTCCGCAACTTATTTCGGGCTGCATCTTTGCTCTGGGGGACACATTTTCAGCAGAATCATCATATATTGATACAGCTTCATTTATTCATCAATTTTCCTTCGGCTTAGTCTCTTTATTCATTGGGGGTCGCCACAGCAGAATGAACCGCCAACTTATCCAGCATATGTTTTACGCAGCGCATGCCCTTCCAGCTGCAACTCAACTCAAAACATCCATTTGCATACAAGCACACACCCATACACTAGGGCCAATTTAGGTCATTCAATTTTCCTATAGCCTATGTCTTTGTACTGTGGGGAACACTGGAGCACCCGGATGAAACCAGAGTGTACACAGGGAGAACATGCAAACTCCACACAGAAATGCCAACTATCCCAGCTGGGACTCGAACCAGCGACCTTTTTACTGTGAGGTGATGGTGTTAACCACTGAGCTACTGTCTCCTTTGATGCTTCATGGCTAAAAAAAAATGAGCTGTGTTTTTTTTGCCAAGGCAACCCAGGGGGCTAAAATATTACTAGGTAAACTGTCAGTGGGCAGAGTCACACAGACCAAAACAAAGACAGACATTCGGGCATTAAACAAACATTTTCAAATGAAAAACTATAGAATTGTTTTTTTTTTTTTTAGAAAACTGTTCTCTTCACGTTACTAAATGTTTGAAAAATTATTATGGTATTTATTTATTATTTAAAAGAGCCACTTTTATGATTTAGAAGAGGTACTTACAGCACCTTCTTAAAAATGTGGCTTAGAAGAAATCATTATTGGTCTCTATTTTAAGCCCAAAAAGGCATTGAGATATTTTAAAGGGATAGTAGCCTGCAAAATGAAAATTCTGATATCATATACTCAACGTTCACTTGTACAAAACCTAGTTGAGTGTGTTTCTTCTGTTAACAGCAAAAGAAAATATTTTGAAAAGTCCTGTTTGCTGGGAGCCATTGACTTCCATACTATTTTTTTCCCGCTATGGAAGTCGATGGTTTCCAGCACCCAGCATTCCTCAAAATAACTTTTTTTGTGTTAGAAATAATAAAGAAGAAATAAATAATAAAGGTTTGAACTACTCAAATCAAAGTAAATGGGTGACTATTGCTTTAAAAGATCAATCAGTGCCAGTTTGTTTCAGTTGAAACAGCTCAGACCTAATTTTTTTTTTTTTTTTGCCTGGGACTAGGCTTAAAGTGAAGTCAGTGGGTAATAGCTATCTGAGTCACTCTTTGTTAATCCAGTATTTTTGGAACTGCACTAAAATGGTATAAACTTACATAGAATTTTTTTACCCAGTAGATTCCAACTCTCTTGTTTCGCAAACATTTCCAGCATTAGATAGACCTTCAGAACCAGATGGGTAAGATGTTTTTTTGGTTAATAATTAATTTTAACACATTTACATGACACATTACAGCATTTTAAAATAGCGTCTTCCTTTCAGGTGCACTCCAGAACACACCAACAGCAGCAATGGATCTTTCATTGTTTTTGAACATTCTGAACAGGCAGAAGTGAAAGAAAATCGGGTTGCACTAGAGAGCATCTCGGTAAAACCCTCAACTTCAAAAGTGGACATGGCACAGTCTGTTTGCACTAAAAATGTCCGCAAGCCACAGAATTTTGTTCCATGTGTGTTTCTGGGAAAACCCCGCTCTACGTTAAACAAATGCCCTGCTGCTAATTGGGACAGTTCAACACTCTCAGAGGATGACCTCAGTCAGAACAGACTGGAATTGAACAAACACTCTTACATTGACATGGACACACCCGAATGGTCTGAAAAGCAGGAGAACAAGGTATACGCTTCATTAAGCACTCAATGAAGCAATTGATTTAATTTACATGTGAAGTCATTATTTCACAATCTTTTATGTTTTTAATTACTTTCTCTCATTATGGTCTGTAGGTTCAGTTCCACTTAATGCTTTACATACAAATGCAGCTGTGTGAACGATCTTTGAAGGACTGGATACAAGAGAGGAATTCAAGGACCACGGAGGGACTCTTGATTTCAGGAGGTGAATTAGTTGCTCTGTATTAATGAAGGCTATTTTGTAGGTACTCTTTTTAGTGCACTTATTATGTGATTTATATAACCTGTAAAGCTGAGGTGCCCAAAGTAGGATCCATGGGCTAAAGTTGGTTTGGCCCGCCATCCTATCTGAAATGAATGGGAGAATGATGGGGAGTTGATTGAAGTGAATGCCTTTGACAGAGATCGTCATATCCAATTAAACATAACCTTTTATATCTTTGTTTTTATTGAGAAGCTACAAAAAGCCAACTAAAATTAAATTTTGCAGATGAATCAGATTTGTAAAATGTAAATACTGTCACTTGACAGATAGAGGACGATGCACAAGACATTGGCAAGCAAATCAAGGCAAAGAAAAGGAGCAGATCGACTAGTGTGCAGCATTGATCTCCATTGTGTTTCAAATTATGTTTTTACTATAATAAGTTCATTAGAAAATGTTAAAATGATACTGTATAATAAATAAATGTTTCAAAACAATGTTTTCTAGTTATTTTTTAAAAAATTAGCAAATAAATTAGGAAATTACTCATAGCAAATTTAATTTAATACAGTTTGGTATATGCAACTTTGGCCCACAGTCTTCAATCAAGTTTGGTTTTTTTGCCCTTATTAAAGATAAGGTTTGGGCAGCCCTGCTATAAAGTATATTGTACTGAAGTTACTTCTATACACCCTTTTCCTGACATGTCTTGGCTGACACATGCTTGAACTAAAAAACAAGAAAAGCTAGATGTTTTATATATATATAATCAGAGTACATAATTGCACCTCTATAATTATTTAAGCCTTTTTAACCAATGTGTTTCATTCGCAGATCCCTGTGATTCAGTTGACTGTGAACAGGCATTAAAGATTTTAAAGAAAATACTTGAAGGAGTGGAGTACATTCATTCCTGTGGTATTATGCACAGAGACCTAAAGGTATGTGTACTTGTGTTGTTGGTTTAGTTAACTTGGTAATGTGCACTTATTGGCATACAAATGCTTTTTTTGTCTTAAATACTGTAGAAGCATTCGTTTTGCTTACAGATATTGGGTGGGTGTGGGACAACAATTTTCTAAGAAGAGTTTTTTTTTTCTGTTTGTTTGTTTGTTTCGGGGGTTGCTTTAAAAAAAGCTAATTATAACCTACTGTAACATAAATTAAAAGCAACCTTTCTTGTGCTTTTACTATAACAAACCTTGCATTTATTCACAAACAAAGTAAAGTCTAGAAAAGGTGGTTACCTGTGGAATTCCTAAATAAATCTCTCCTTTTTATCAGTGATTTAATGTGAATATTGTATTACTATTTATTTATCAGTGATTTAATAGTAATAATTTTTATTATTATTATATTTGTTGTTTTGGACATGGAAGCAAGTTTTATTTGATAATGTATAATAACTGTTTTAAGACTTGGATCTAAAATTAAATGGCATAACAGCATGTTACATGGTCTTTACAAACAGATAAGACATAATTTACCATAATTTACACACACACACACACACACACATACATACATATATATATATATATATATATATATATATATATATATATATATATATATATATATATATAATTTTGTACATGGACCTTATTTAGCTCTATTTACAGGATAGAGGCCCAATATTTAATGGAGTAAAATTTAAAACATTCATGTCTACTCCTTGTTTATTTTAGTAGATAACTAACTGACAAAAAATATAGTAAAATTAGGATATAACTTGTATCAAATGAAGTTTTTTTTTTTAAAGAAAGGATTCTGCAAACACAAATGTGGTCAAAAGTGTCTTAACCACTCCCTTTCTTCAAGAGATCTGCTGACCGATTTACCATGCTGTTTTGACTTGGCCATCTTTCATAATTCACAAATTGAACTGATTAAAACACATAAGTAATATTCAAACATAACTACAATAAAAAAATAAATAAATAAAAGTTAATTTCCTAAATGGCCACAACAATATTTATAACAGCTACACATTAAGCACCATTTTTACAATAAATAAAAAGCTTTTAGTGCTAGAAGAATCTCTACATGATTCTATTTTAAGGTTGCTCAAATTCACGACAGTGATTTGTGGTATTTGTTTGTTTCAGTTAAATTATGTATCTTTTTTTCCTTTATTTACAGCCAAGAAATATTTTCCTTCTTGGAAATGAGTGCCATGTGAAGATAGGGGATTTTGGATTGGCTTGCCAAAACATTATAATGGACGAACATGAGAAGTTGCCTTCCAGTTCCCAAGCAGGTGTAAACCCAGGTGACAGACTTATTGCGTATTTACAAGAGAATGATGAATTAATTAAATTATTACAAAAAGACCATTTTCAATGTAAAAAGATATAATAATAATATAGAATTGTTTAAAATAAGTGCATGTTGTCAAAGTTCAGCAAACTTCTATAGTAATTGAAAACTACAACATATTTTCATTTTCCCTAATAGCATGGGAAAGAAAATCTAAAGTAGAATTTCTCAGAATTTATAGGAAAAGGTACAAATATTGAAAGAATGAGTCGGTTGGCCAAATGAGAGCAATATGTCAAATTTGCTGTTACTCCCTTAACCAGTGTACTAGACAACAGCAGTTGTAAGGTATAAAAAATTCAATTGATCGATGAGGATTTGAGTTTTACAGTATCTGTAAAAATGTATTATCAATGCTTGTAAAAATGGTCCATTCTAAACTAATAAAACACTTTCAAATAGATTTTTATGTTCCTTTTCTGGCGAACTACTGCTGATTTAATGGCAGGGAACAGTAGATGGCAGCAGTAAATTAATGCAGCTTTAGATTACTCAATTTCTGATTGCTCTTTTCAGATGCAACTCACACCAGTGGAGTGGGAACATTTGTGTACGCTGCCCCAGAACAACTTGAGGGCTCTCGCTATGATTCAAAGGCAAGTAGGCAGAAAAGTTACAAACTGATATAATTCTATGTCTATCCTGTTATTAGTATTGCTTAATGTAATGTGCTTCAGTTTCATCTTGGCCACATACTAAAGATGTGTTAGTCAAACTTTATGCTCAGTGGTTATGTTTTATTTGTGCAGTCAGATATGTACAGCATAGGAGTGATTGCCTTTGAGTTATTCCAGCCATTTGGGACCGAGATGGAGCGTGTTCACACACTTGGAGAACTACGACAGGGCAAGATCCCTAACACACTGTCCACAAACTGGCCAATTTTGGCCAAGTATATTAAACTACTGACCTCCTCTGATCCCTCAATGCGACCAAGTGCACCTCAGTTACTTCAGAGTGACCTCTTCAGCACCAATGACATGGTACTTTTTGTTTGTTTTACAAAGTAGATAAAATCCCTAAGTTATTTAAGTATAATATCAATAGTATTTGAATGTAACCTGGATTCAAAATTGAATTGTGCTTTATTGTAGGTGATCCACAGTTTAAAGCGCAAGATTGATGAACAAGAAGAAGAAATTGTACAGCTCAGGAGACGGATTAGTGAGCTACAGATCTCTCAGAATTCAATACACAGTCCAGAAAAGACGTAGTAATAGAATTTCTTTTGTACTGCCACAAGTGCTCAGTATTTGTACATTGTCAACTGTTGTTTGGAAATGGCTGTATGTGGGAGCACAGCTCTGCTTGTATGTATATAAATGAGTGACACATTTAATTTAATGAAAGATCTGTAAAGTAAAATCCCGTGACAATGGTGCATTAGTCTCTGACTCTTTAAAGTTGACTAAATAGTTACTGTAGTTTTATTAATGTCTAGTACATTTACTGGAGGGTTTAGTTATAATAATGAATATTAATAATACTTCAGTGTCATAAATAAGACTGCAAAAGCATTTTGAGTTTATTAGGTCACTGAATTATAAAATGTACTTAATTCTTTAATAACATCACACAATTGTTACACTTTTATTTACAAACACACTAACGTTATTATTTACAAAACTTTATCTGACGAAGAATTTGATGGTGGATAATAATTTGCCACAACCTACCGTACGATCCACCAACACATCCATTCCATTAGATATTAAAATCTACGTCTGACTGCATTAATTCAAATATGTACGAAAAACTCGTCTTTGTTAATTTATCCACAGAAAGCTTTTATTTGTCATTTGTAAAGTGCTTTTAGTTTTTTTCTTTCTCTCGTCGAGTTGACAACAACAAAGACATTCAACTGCCTTGACGGCGGCCCTTCATTTAAGGCCACATCCACAGCACTGGGTTGGCTGACATTACGAAAGTACCCGGATGTACCCGTGGGGAAACTACGTCATTGTTCACCGCCGGACGCTCTTTGGATTTTAGAATGGATGAACTCATTTAAATTAATCATAAAACAACAGGTACGTGCATTATTTGATGTAAATATGCTATGTGAACGCTGCATGTGATGTTCTCGGGAGCGCGCGTTGAGCAGCTGCGTTTATTGCGTGGCACGAAATTGAAAACACCGGGTTTCGCAACGAGTCTTTCGGCGGCATTGCCTTCTCGGCCACAGCACCGGTGAATTTTAAATACGCGCCCCTCCTTTCTACCTGGTTTTGCTTAATATCGAATTTTAGCAAATGAAATGTCGTGCTGTGTATGTCTGTAAAGGGACACAACACGTAGGTTATATCAACACCATCTTGATACACAAACGGGCTTCTAGAAGTGCGTGACCATCTTCATGCCGCGTTTCATCCGTATTGTTACGTTCGCCGTTACCATGGCGTTTGTAGCTACAACACAGCGGTCTTTAAATCACTCAGAACTTGTCGCGCCAACAAAAAGAGCGGCTTACTAGTCAAATTTAACAGTAAAGTATTGTAGAAACATTACATAACACGAATATATTTACTTTAAGTATTTTGTGTTTTAATAACGTGCGGCAGAGGCCTATCTCGCACACGAAGCCCTTACCCGAGCACGCCAGATAACATTGGCGGACGTGCGGAGGGAGTGTGTGTACTACAGGATGATTTCCTTACACAAAATCAGACACAGAATAGCCACTGTGGTTTGAGTGTCATAGAGTCTGACGACCTTATCAAGGCACACGCTGTTTGTTGCGGTTTTGACTTGGAATCTGTTGATTATGAGAGCTTACTGTACACCGTAGCTATCATGAATTAGCCAAGGCCACGGGCCCATGCTGACGTTCAGCTCAAAAGATCAACACCGGTGTCTACTCCGACAAATTTTTTGCTTATTTGATCAAAACCTATTTGGCAGTTTACATAGAAAGTAAAATGTAGATACTTTTGATGCTGTTTTACGTAAAAAGGCTCCATTACCGTGTTTGGAGTTCACGTTCACTCATGTTTGTTGCACTTTCACTTTGGCGCGATGTCTCGTAGGCATTTAACACATTACCACCTTTGACTCTTTAGTAGTAATTTCCCTTTATTTATTACGTTATAGGTAGTATGTTTTATTATTTTTATTATTAAATACTAGATTGTATGTTGGCTGAAATATAGACTTTGAACCTGAATTCCTAGGGGGAAAGTACAGTGTCCTGCTGAAAGTGCAGTTTTTAAAAATGAAAATAAAAGCTTATCTGAGCATACAGGTATAATTACAAATCACAATTTCATGTTGTATAATATATAAATGTGTCCCTGAACTACAAAACGAGTCTTATGTTGTGTAACTTAGGTGTATTTTAAAAATATATTGGGTCAAAATTAATAGTTTTTCTTTTATGCCTCAAATTAGAAGATTATGTTCAATGAAGACATCTTATACATTTCCGAAAGCATTTATATGAAAACTTAATTTTTGTTTAATAATATGCATTGCTAGGAAATGAGTTTGGACTACATTAAAAATGAATTTCGCAAAATGTATTTTTTTTTCTTTTAGATGATAGACAAATCCTATGATTGGTTTTGTGGTCCAGGGTCACAAATAGCTGCATTTTTCATCTGTTCCTATTCTGAAACATTAGTAATGATTTGTTTTTATGTGTCCAAATTTTTTTATTTATTTATTTTTTTCTTGTTCTGGCATGCTAATATTTTGCTTTGAGGAATTTATTTCAATAATGTCATTAAATCTGAAAGCTGTACAATGAAATTAAGTCCCCATGTGCAAATTCTAAAAAACTCATAAAAACCTGTTTAAAATAAAAGTTTAGTTTCGGTTTACACATTTTGTTTTAAATTTTTTTTTTTTCAAAGGAAGAGTGACTAAAGTTTACATGATTTTAAAGATTACTTGGTTGTCGCTTCTAGGGATGCACGGATTCCGATACTTGGATCGGATATTGGTTCGATACTGCATATTTTTGCTGTATCGGATGTCGGCCAGCTGGTACCGATCTAAATCCATTCTTGTGCTATATTCTGTGTTTATAAGCCAACTAAGCCATAAAGGTAGCCTATTATAAGGCATTAGAAAGTTGTTATGTAGGCCTACTATGTCCCAAATGTTCTGAAGCCATTCTACAGTTTAATGTGAAATAAAGATGAATATTCAAGTGGTTTAATTCAAGTCTTTGATTCTTCTGAAGGGAATACTTTCAGTGCTGGCTCATTGTGGTCAAAGTAGTTGATTTTAAATAATCAAAGTGAAACCGATGGGCACAATATGGATTGTTGTTAACAGAAAAAAATATTTCGCCTATTACAGGCTACTGTGAATATTTCACTGTAATTTTATTCATATCAACATTTTATTTAAAAGACCAATTTGTGTTTTGACACTGAAGAATTTACGCAGACCTTGTTTTGAACTCTCTCTGTCTCACTCATGGCGAGATTTGGCGAGGGATTATTAAGTAAAACTGGCCTCAGACAGTTTGGTTAAGTCTGCGTCAGACCTGCAGGAAATATCAGGCTTTGCTAAAAGTCTCGTTATTTTAGCAACTATTGGGATCAATAGTGTTAGCCTATTGCAGATTTCAAAGAAAAATCTTAATATTAAAAAAGGAAAGAACTGGACCACAACAGATTTATGTTATAAAGAATGCTCAAATAATGTATCCTAGTTTACAGCAAGCATCATGTTTTTAGTTGGATTGTACCGTCTCTTATAGCTCTGTTATTTTAACTAAAGAAGAAATATTATTTGAGTTTAGCACCAGAGCTATAGAAACTATTGTGCTTAGAAAAAACAATACAAAAAGAAAAATAGCACAGTATCGGGATCAGATCTGTAACGATCGAAACTCAGAATTTTGGTATCGAGATCGCATCGGTTCTAAAAAATGGTATTGTGCATCCTCACTTTAGAAGAGCAAAGTAAGTTTTTATTTATTTTTTATTTATAAGAACTCATTTAATTTAATAACGAGTTTGGCTTTCCTCTTGCGTACTTGTCACATTTGACACAAAGACTAGTTGTGTTTGAATCACTGCCTTTAAAACTATTTTACAAATTAATCTGTCTGTATTGTCAAAAAGGATTGAGGTTAGAGGTAACATGCATGTTTGTTTTTCCACAGAAAATGAATAATGACCATAGTTGACAAACCTCCAGAGAAACCTGACCTGGAGTCAGTGCGGTGCAAGCACTCCAGCTCCATCACACCATTCTCCTCCAGAGACATGGAGAGCAGTAGTTCGAGCTGGAGTGTTGGCCCTTCTGCCACTGAGCTTTCAAGGGCCAAGACGGTCTGTATGGCCCCGGCCATTGGAGCGACTGTGAATGGTAGTAATAACACAGCACTCCAAGTCGAAAGGCCACGAGAGCAAGGCAAGTACTTTTATTTATTTTTTTTGTGTTGGGTGATCTTTGGTGGAGGGGAAATTGGAAAAAAATCAAGATTTACAGAATGACTTGAATTTTGAATGATGAGGGTGATTTTTGTTAAAGAGATTGAAAGGAAAAAATCTGCCATCATTTGCTCAACCTTGTTAAAAACCTGCTTGAGTATTTTGGGGGTTCTGTTGAACACAAAAGAAGATGCATTGAAGAATCTAAAACCTGTAACTTTGAATATTTAATGTTTATTTGGCAGTGAACAACTCCGATGGATAGATTTCAATAACTGTTTGTTTACACTCATGAAAAATGATCACTGCTGTTATGAATTTTTAAAACCTTCATAAAATTATACCCTTTTTCTCAAACACTGTTGGAACAGAATTTTGATGAACATGAGTGTACGCCCCTAACAAACCATTGCAGCAAGAAACACTGATCGCACTTCTCATTCTAAACTGAAAGTTAGTGAAATATATATATTTTTAATATTTATGATGTTTTGTACTTGTGTTGTTAGAGATTGATATGCAGGTTCAATAATTACTGCTTGAAAGTGAAAATTTTGTTCATTCCAGTGTAGTTCATTGTTGTAAATCTCAATCTTCATGCAATGGCATATTAAAAGGATAGTTTACCCAAAATGAAAAATACCCTCATGTCATTCTAAACCTCTGAGAGTTCATATTTGGAACAAAAATGAAGATATTTTTTTTTGGAGGGAACGACCTGAGGGTTAGTAATTCAATATATTAATTTTCATTTTTGTGTGAACTAACCTCTTAATCCATATTTCAAAATGTTATTTTAAATGTATGCATGTATTTAAGTAATTTCATTGCCTTTCTTCACATGATGTTTACATTTTAAAGATTAAAAACTCTTTAATGACGGCTAAATATAATTCATTATATTGTAAACATGTTAAGTATATCTACGCTCATTAATGCAGAGTTGCTAATCAGATACATCATGGTTTTATTTAAAACAAACGGAAAAAAAATTCACATACAGCCATTTTCCAAACCCTTGATTGCATTATAAGAGTTAATTAATTTACCCTCGTATGATTTGACAATTAATCACCTTGGAATTCTAAGGTTCTATCTGGGTTTTGAATGATTTTGAGATAAAGAGCTTCGGAGTTTATATATAGCAAACCATGTGTGTAACATTTTTTTTGTTAAAATAAAAAGTCTTATAATGTAAACAACTTATAAAAAAAACATCCCATAATTTGAATAAGTTGTCATTTAATAAGAATATGTCAATAACTCAATTTTGACAAAAATGTCAGATAGAACCTTATAATTCTAAGGTGACGAATTGTTAAAGGGATAGTTCACCTAAAAATCTAAATTTACTCATCAATTTACTAATCATTTACTCTCACTTATCACAAACCTGTTTGAATTTTATTCTAATGTTAAACACAAAATAATAGTTTGAAAAAAGCTGAAAAGTAACCATTGACTTCAATGGTAATTGTTTTTACTACTAGTTACTTTACTTCAGCTTTCTTCAAAACGTATTCTTTTGTGTTCAACAAAAGAAAGAAACTCGTTTTTTGGTGTACTGTCCCTTTAAAAATCATATTGCAATTATAATTTTATTCTTGTATTATGCAGCGCCTTCTGTCATTAATAGTCTTCCATAATATCAGTACAACAATGGGTTATGTTGTGTTCCTGATTTGTAATATATCCCTGTTTTTCTTTTTTATACCATGCAGTGGGGATGACCAGTGGGGATGGCATTGCTCTCCCTCAAAAGGTCCTGTTTTCCCCAGAGCGGCTCTGCTTGAAGTGGAACCAAGGCCACCGCATTGGAGCAGGTCTCCATAACCTGGGCAACACATGTTTCCTGAACTCTACCCTGCAGTGTCTGACCTACACTGCTCCCCTTGCCAACTACATGCTGACCAGAGAGCATTCCAAAACATGTTAGTGTTCAAGATTTTGCTAGCTGT